AATTTTGTGAGAGCTTCAATGGAAAATCATTGAGCATTCACCCTATCGTCCTGATTTGGCTCCTTTTGACCTCTTTTTGTTTCCTAATCTTAAAAAATCTGTAAAGGGCACCTATTTTTTTTCAGTTAATAAGGTAAAAAAGATGGCATATTGACACGGCTAAATTCCAAGGACACTCAGTTCTTTAGGGTTGGACTAAATGGCTGACATCACTGCTTTAAAAAGTGTTTTGAACTTGATGAAGCTTCTGCTGAGAAATAATGTTTATGTTTTTAATTTTATTTTAAAGTCCACTTTAAGTCCACTTTTCCATGAACTTTTGAAGTTCCCTCACATATATTATTAAAAAATCATTTTTAATGCTAATTCAAATTCTCCTTTGGTCCCTGCAATTGTGAGCTTAGGACAATATCTGAAGTTCTTACTAAAATGAAGAGAAATAGATTCTTTCCTAATTCCCATTTCTCTCTGTCAGCCTGACCATCTGTCTGTCTTCTGGCACCATTTGAACCCAAGAGGTCTCTTTGACATTTATCTATCAAAACAAAATAATGACCTATTTGAAAGAAACTTTGTGTCAGCTACTTTTATTTCTATTTAAAAATGAAGGACAGAGTACTGGTCTACTTTGTGGCTGAGGTGAAATAAATTGTAGATCAACTAATAAAATTAGTTAAATGAGGACTTTGAGGAGGTTTGATAAGCCAACGACCCTTGCAGAAGGGAAGGATGGAGTGATTATTTGCAGTTTCTTCAGTGTTGGGCTAAACCCATCAATTTTTAAACTATCAATTTGGCTTCTTTCATGGGGACAAAAGTCACTCCAAATTGTTTTTAAAATGAAGTGTCAGATTCACTTTGAAGTACACACAGGTAATTCCTGGAGTATAAAAAACAATTTGAGGATTATTGATCTTAGGATCCCACTTGATTATTAGTTCTATTAAGCTTGGGCTATGGAGTTTATAATAACATCTTTTAAATTTGCTGTTACCAGTGGAATAAAGAAAAATAATCTCATGATATTTCTGAATGGGAGATTGTTCAGAATCTGCTATTGATTTCTCATCCACTTATTTTCCTTCTGAAATTTCTAAGCAGGTTAAATAAATTGTAGCTTTAGTGAATGAGAACTCTGAATCATGGGATAAAAGGCAGGCACAGAGCAATTCCTAAGACTTCCTCATTTTGCCTGATGATCCATTCAAATAGCAGGGGTTTCCACCCTCTGATCATGACAGTGTCTGCCACTCAATACTCCTTCAGTTTTGAATGACAATACCCCAAATAAACCTTACCTATCCCGAACCTGTCCTGTGAAACAGGGTGAGTAAAGTGCAGGAGGAGGTCAACAGTTTAAGGGAGAGAAGCAGAGTGAGGGGCAGGGTGAGAGGAGGAAGACCTCTTAGGTACATCTGATCTGCCACAGTGCTATAAACTTTTGTATTATTAATATTAGGATTGTGATATAAGTAGATAACATGAGATCTACTATCTTAAAATTGTCAGTGGACAGTTCAATATTGTTAACTATATTCACAATGTTATACAACAGGTATAGAACTTACTCATCCTGCATAACTGAAACTTTATAACCACAGCCCACAGAAGAGCAACTCCCCACTTTCCCTTCTCCCAGCACCCTGGCAACCACCATTCAACTCTCATCTAAATGGAATCATATCATATCTGTCCTTCTGTGATTGGCTTATTTCACTGAGTAGAATGCCCTCTAGGTTCATCCATGTTGTAGCATATGGCAGGGTTTCCTTCTTTTTTAACACTCATTAATATTCCTGAGTGTGTGTGTGCCTCATTTTCTTTACCCACTCATCTGTCAGTGGACATTTACGTGGTCTCCACATCTCAGCTACTGTGAATGGTGCTACAGCAAATCCTGGAGTGCAGATATCTCTTTGAGACCATGGTTTCACTTCTTTTGGACATATACCCAGAAGTGGAATTATTGGAACATATGGTAGTTCTATTTTTTATTTTTTGATGAAACTCTGCAGTTTTCTGTAGCAATTGTACTGTTTTACATTGCCACCAATAGCACAGGGTTCACTTTACCATGTATTATCTGACTGGATACTTGAAACTGGTTGAAGGAAGCTGTTATTCCATTCTTTAGGTGTAAAAGAGAGATTCAGGGAGATAAGGAACCTCCTGGAAGTCAAGGGCATGTTATTGACAATTGACACCTGACTCTAAGCCTCATCTTTCTCTGACCCTGAAGATCACATACCACTGAAATAAGCAAATAATTATTCCTCTCTGCAAATGGCCGCTGTTGTCTTGACACATGTTAAAACAGCAGTAATTATGGATTTTTGATAGCAGATACTACTGAGGCTGCCCACATAGAGTCCATCCTGAAAAAGTTGGTAATAGGAACACACATCCACTGTCACATATTATGGAGTTTGATGAAGTTCCCATACTGCATGGAGTGCAGTAATGTATGAAGAAAGATGTTCAATTCTCATCAACTGTTAAGACATTAGAAAGGCCCCGTGAAGAATCCCTGTGTCTTGGAGTAATCCCTTGACAGTGATAAGCACGGATGCTCCCCCATTTACTGATGCCCTTCGCATTCTGTGACTTGAAGGGCTCCTTCCCTTCTCTGCTCTTCTGCTGTGGTCAGGAAACCTGCTGTTTACATCTTGAACGATCATTTTCCATTTATCAGCTCACATCCTGTATTTGACAAACACTCCATTTTGAATGTATCAAATGGTTTCTCGTTTCATTGGCAAGATGCTATTGGGCCTTAGCAGAATGTCTGAAAGAGCACCTTGCAGACATGATACCATTTGGTGAGGTCTCTTTACCTTCCCTCTCTCCTTCCTTCAGCCCCAGAACTCTGGCCATGGTTTCTCCTCCCTGGTTCTTTCCCCGCACTTCTCCATGAACCTAATCTCCTGTGAGTTTCAAGGTTCAGCATCGTGTCATCAGGAAATGCATTCAATAGGGAGACAAGGTTCTGGCTGTGGCTCAACCACTTAGTGGCTACTGCTGAATCGCCTTCAGTTGCTCATTGATAAAAAGTGGGTAGGCTGGGCGTGGTAGCTCATGCCTGTAATCCCAGCACTTTGGGAGGCCGAGGTGGGTGGATCAGGAGGTCAGGAGATTGAGAACATCCTGGCCAACACGGTGAAACCCCGTCTGTACTAAAAATACAAAAATTAGCTGGGCATGGTGGCGCATACCTGTAATCCCAGCTATTCAGGAGGTTGAGGCAGAAGCCGGGAGGTGGAGGTTGCAGGGGGCTGAGGTAGCACCACGGCAATTCAGCCTGGCAACAGAGCTAGACTCAAAAAAAAAAAAAAAGTGAGTAATAAGAATTGCCTTCCAATTTTAAGGGGTAGTGGGACCCAAATTGTGAGGTTGCTTTGGAGCACTGCTTGCTATACAAAGTTAAAGCATTGCTGGCTCCACAGAGAGAGGGTAGGCACTAGAGTATTGGTAGATGACGGATTCTAATGACCCAGGAAAAGAAGTCTGGCTTTGAAGCCAGACATTCTTATGTTTAAGTCCTGCCTTCAGTAACTTTAGAGAAGTTAGTAAATATCTCTGTTCTTTAAATATCAGACTATTTATCAATAGAATAGGTAAAATGAAACATCCCCTATACAAGCATTGCAGGTGCTGAGATTACTAATAAGATGTATGTACATGCTGAGAGCCTGTCACAGAGCCGACTCCCAAACCACTGAAAGTTTCTTTGGTTCTCTCATTTTTTTCCCTTACGATTAAGGGGAAAACACCAATTAAAATTATTGCTAGGTAGGATAAGTGACATTAAAATAGCAGAATTAAACAATCATAAAAGCCAAAGAGAACTTGGATAATATATAATCAGAGTATCCATCATGAAAGAAGGCAAGGTCAAGACAGGTAACATGATTGCTCAAAATCATGTACCTGTTCTATACATATATATTCTATTTTAAAACATATAGACTGTATAATGTCTTCTGAAAGAAAAGTCTTACCTTCTTAAATTTGTGCAGAATATTCTCAGAAAACTGCATATTTTCTGAGCACATTTTTCTAAAAATCAAAAGGGCATAAAGGCAATTTCTTGTTTATGGTATGCTTACTCTGAAATCAGGATGTTTTTATTTATTTCTTTTTATTTACTTATTTATTTATTTTGAGACAGAGTCTCACCCTGTTGCCAAGGCTGGAGTGGAGCGTCACAATCTTGGCTCGCTGCAACCTTTTCCTCCGAGGTTCAAGCAATTCTCCTGGCTCAGCGTTCTGTGTAGCTGAAATCACAGGCATGTGCCACCACACTCAGCTAATTTTTTGTATTTTCAGTAGAGACAGGGTTTTACCATGTTGGCCAAGTTGATCTCGAACTCCTGGCCTCAAGTAATCCACCTGCTTCTGCCTCCAAAAGTGCTGGGATTACAGGCATGAGCCCCCATGCCCAGCCCTGACATCAGAGTGTTTTCAAAATGTTAACAATGAAGGAACTGATCATACGCTGCAAAAGGCCTCTTATGTCATCAAACTCTGTCACTGATGTCAGTTTCCTCTGGACATTACTAGAAATCTTTTCTGCAGTTGCCTAATTTTGGTAAATTTTAAAATCTAACTCTATGCATTGGGGACACTGGTGATTTCCATTTTGAAAACAAAAAACAAATGAAGTGTCAGAGCTAGGAATTTGGAAAAATTCACTTTCTGATTATTGATTATGGTATTTAATGTACACAGTAAACTTTAGAATGTAGTTAGGTCTTCATTGAAGGTCATGTTTTATGAAAGATGAAGCTTTGCAGTCGGTTGGATTGGCCTGGGGAGCCGATGAAGAATCATTTAGAGGACGCAGGTTCCCTCAAAGCTGAGTTTCATTTTCATCCCGAGCACAGAACTTAGCAGTCATCCTTGAGACCTCTCTTTTCCTAACAACCCCAAATCACTGGGTCACCCTGCCACATGGATTTCATTTTATTATTTATTTTTTTTAGACAGTCTCACTCTGTCATCCAGGCTGGAGTGCAGTGGTGTGATCTTGGCTCACTGCAACCCCCGCCTCCAAGTTGAAGCTATTCTCCTGGCTCACACATGGATTTTACATCATAGTATCTCTGAACATTGGCCATTTCTCTCTACTCAACCATCACCATCATGGTCCAGGCAGCCTGTGTTCCTCCTGGGCCACAGTGTCCTCCAGGGACAGTAAGGCCATGTGTCCCCTCCTGGGCCCCCGTGTCCTCCCAGGCATAGTCAGACCATGAGTCCCCTCCTGGGTCCCCATGTCCTTCCAGGGACGGTCAAGCTGTATGTCTCCTCCTGGGCCACAGTGTCCTCCAGGGACAGTAAGGCCATGTGTCCCCTCCTGGGCCCCCGTGTCCTTCCAGGAACGGTCAGGCTGTATGTCTCCTCCTGGGCTACTGTGACCTCCTAGAGACAGTCAGGCCGTATGTCTCCTCCTGAGCCCCCATATCCTCCCAGAGACAGTCAGCCTGTGTGTCTCCTTCTGGGCCCCAGTGGCCTCCCAGGGAATGGTCAAGCTGTGTGTCCTGGTCTGAGCCAGAGTAGCCTCTGAGTGTTCTATTCACCTCTGTGCTCACTCCTGTCCCTTTTGTTCTCCACTCTGAAGAAAAGGGGATTTTTCTTGTGTGCAAATGTGATGTTGTCCTCACTCTACCCTCACCCGAGAGCCTCTCCATGGGTTCCCATTGCTCTAGCAGGATGTGGCCCACCACGCCCTGCAGGGCTAGGCGCACCTCCCACCTCTTCCTTCCTCTCGTCTGTCCCCTCCCTACGGGACTTGGCCACATGTGTCTGCAAGAATATTTTAACATTCTTCTCCCCATTCTTCATTTTCTACTCACCCTTCAGATGTCAATTTGATCTCAGAGCCTCAGGGAGCTTGGCTCACCTTGCTGGCTTACACCCCATTGTCAAGGGCTATTGCCAGCGTCTCCCCCATCCCTAGGTTTCAGAAAGTGTGCCCATTACGTTTTTACATTTGCTTAGGTAGTTACAGTTGGTTCTTATCTCGCTCTCTGACTAGGTATTGTTAGTTTCACATTGGCCATCATTGAATCCCTGGTGCCTAGCACACAGTGGATGCTTAAGGAATATTATTTGTGAAACGTGTTAGCGGATGAATGAATGGGTGGTGGGCACACCTGTTTATCTACAGTCTGGCGTGTGAGTTTCACCCTGTTGCTGAGCTTCTCCTGGTAGAGACGGTCTGCAGTATGTTTCGCTGGTCCCTGGCCATACCATCTTTTTGTCCAGTGATTCACATGGGGTTTTTTAAGGGACGGGGAAGAGACTTTGCACATGCAAAAATGCCAAATGCTGACAGGAGTGGAAGCCAAGAGTCTCTTGTATTTAGCAATCTGTTCTACTTCAACGGTTTTCAACTCAGGCTCCACAGCATTACGGGGTTGCTTTCGATTTTCTCAAGGATTAAAATTTTAAAAAAATAATTACCTTTATGAAAGAGGTGTCAGGGTCCTACATGATGAACGCCAATCACCAAAAAGGCTTCCCATGACCTGCCAGGCTGTGGCATCTCTGCTCCTGCCAATCAAGCCATCGGAGCTCTCAACCGAGCACTGGTGGTTCCACCCCACGCCTGGAAGACCCATCACCAAAGAGATGCAGGCACATGAGGTGGGGCTCCTCAGCTGGCAGAACGTGCAGGAAATGAGCTTCCTGATCTGGAGATTTTACTGAAAGGGTTCTGTCTGCTGCAAAGCAAATTGTTTTAATCTGCTCATTGCTTTGATGCCCACCTCAATGTTATGAGCGGAGGAATTCCAGAGGACAGCTGCGTGTGGCTGTGGAGCTGGAGAACGCACAGAGGCGGTGGGACTTGAGTTGTGCATTGGATGATGTGCTCCATCTGGGTGGCTGCGAGGATGGGGTCAAAGGTAACAGATTAGGAGCAAAGGCGCAAAGATGAAAATGGGTTGCAGAACATTCGTGGGTTTGTGCTATTTGAATACTGGGGCAGATTCATCAGGAAGAGCAAGTGGGCGAAAAACCTGGGCATACGAGGCAGAGGCGAGGGCTTGTGTGCCATGTCACAGAGGCTCTCCCAAAAAGATGTTCTATCCCCATGGTAACAGAATTAAGCAGACTAAGGAGTCTTCATTTTTTTTCTAAATAATCTAGAGAAAATTAAATTAAATTTTCCGTTTACCATGAATATGCCTTCTTTTTTTTATAATGCAAAAGTGTTATATTTAAATGGGGGGGTGCTATCATACAACCATTATCTCTGAAAAGCGCTTGGCCTGCTTCCAACCTTGTTCATCAGCCCCTATTTTTAATTCAGTGGAGGTTAATAGCAATTCTCAGCTGCCTTCGCGTGGCCAGTTTCCCTGGAACGGAGAGAAGATCTGGAAGCCTCAGAGAGTAATGAAGTCATTATTATAACCATTTTAATAAAATTTTCAATAGTTAAGCCACCTTTCTGTGATTTATTGTTAAAAAACTAAGCCACTGAGTCATAGGACTGAAAAGGTCAACCAATGAATAGGCTGCACTCAACAGATGTAATAAAGGAAGAAGAGGGGCTGGGGGAGGAGAGGGCTACATGAGAAGCTGCTCTAGGGTCTCATGCCCCCCAGATTCATGTACTGAAACCTAATGGCAGTTGGGCATAGTGGTAGGGTTGGCATGGTGGCTCATGCCTGCAATACCAGCACTTTGGGAGGCCAGGGTGACTGGATCATTCGAAGTCAGGAGTTCGAGACCAGCCTGGCCAATGCGGTAAAACCCTGCCTCTACTAAAAATACAAAAATTAGCTGGGCTTGGTGGTGGGTGCCAGTAGTTCCAGCTACTTCAGAGGCTGAGGCAGGAGAATCGCTTGAACCTGGGAGGTGAAGGCTGCAGTGAGCTGAGACTGTACCACTGTACTTCCAGCCTGGGTGACAGAGCAAGACTGTCTCAAACACACACACACACACACACACACACACACACACACACACACACACACACACAGAAACCTAATGGCCAGTGTGACCTTGATAAGATGTGGGGCCTTTAGTGGGTAATGAAGTAATGAGGGTGAGCCCTAAATATAAGCAGGAATCCCGTTTTCATGCCAGGCACCCAGCGAATGCTCTTCAAACTTGAGTGTCAATCGAGACCTGTACATGCTATCCACACATGTGGTCAAACTTTCTTTATCACTAGTTCAAGACTACCATGAGATGAAGGAGAAAGCAGCCCCCAAAACCCACTCACAGAGGAGCCCCTGGAACTCTAGAAGAGCCACAGCAAACCTTGTCGGTGAAAGCCCTGGCCTCTCTGCAGGAAGAGGACACGGCAGCTCTTCTGCAGGACTCACCAGCTCCGCTTACCACACGAGCTGTTTTAGTCTGTTCATGCTGCTATAACAAAATACCCGGAAATGGGTACTTTAGAAAAAACAGAAACATACTTTTCCACAGCTCTGGAGGCTGGAAGTCCAGGATCCAGGTGTCAACAGTCTCCATGTCTTATGAGATTTGGTATCTGGCGAGGGGTGCTTTCTGCTTCCCAGTGGCATTTTATTTTATTTTATTTGACTTTTAACTTAGGCTCGGGGCACATGTGCAGTTTGTTATATAGGTAAATTCATGTCACAGGTGGGTTGCTGTGCAGATGATTTCATCACCCAGGTACTAAGCCTAGTGCCCGAGAGTTACTTTCTTCGCTCCTCTCTCTCCCCGCACCTTCCCCACTCAGGTAGGTCCCAGGGTCTGCTGTTCCCTTTTTTTGTGTCCATGAGTTCACTTAGCTCCCACCCATAAGTGAGCTGTTTTGTTTTCTGTTGCTGTGGTATCTAGCTACGGTGTTTTCTTACTGTGCCCTCACATGGCAGAAGGAATGGAAGAGCAGAAGGGGCTAGGCTGAGGCAGGAGAATCACTTGAACCCGGGAGGTGAAGGCTGCAAGCTCTCTGAAGCCCCTTTTAAAAGGACGTTAATCCCATTCATGATGGCAGAGCCCTCAAGACTTAACTACTTCCCCAAAGGCCCCACCTCCTGATACTGTCACCTTGGTGTTTAAGTGCCAATGTAGGCATTCTGGGGGAAACATGCATCCAAACCACAGCACAAGCCTAGCAAACCGGATTTTGGAACTCTAGTTTTTGAAACGAGCCAGAATAGAAAGACAGGTGGAAGGCCATGAACTCCAAGGCAGGTACCCAATGGTCTACAGGGACAGACAGCACAATTCTCCGCAGAATCACAGAATGGAATGAAATGGTTTGGCAGCCTTTGCTGAAGAAAGTAGACAAGCAAATAATACAGTTCAGAAAGATTCCGTTGAGACAATTGCAATGTTAGACAAAAAACCCTTCAATGGGTTAGCTTCAGTTACCCGGAAAGTTCCTCCTTCCTCAGCAATGCCAGATGTTCACGTGCATGTGTGTAAAAATGGTGATCCACTATCACAGTTGAATCAGATGCAGGGAGTAGAAAACCATGATGTTTACTGCTGGGCAAAGAAACAATGACTGCTGAAAACCTTTCTGAAATGTCTAAATTCCACCACTGCCTGGGTAAGTAGGTTTGCTGAGTGGAATCTTATCTTTGGAGATGAAAAGCACTCACTACCGAGTCTAGGAGTCCATCACCCTGAGCAAATGGCTTCCCTGTCCTGGCCTGGGGATAAAGGTCAGTAGGATGGCAGGCAAGGGCTTTACCACGCTAAACTGAGAATTTATACAGACCTTTTTTTTCCCCACCATCAAGTCTGTCTTATGACTCTGCAAGAATGAATAATCTTAGGAAGTAAAATTTTGGAATAATTGAGATTTAGTGTACCAAAAAATCTGCAGAATACACAGTTCCCAAAGACAGGCCCATTCTGGGAAACCTATGTATGTATATCTCTTCAGTGTGTATAGTGTATAGAAATCCAAATTTCTGATGTCCTTAAGTCACATCATTTGTTCATTAAATTCTAGCACTGGCTTTTTTGACAATCCTTTAATTTTGGCTCATCTTTTGGGAATTGGAAATGGCTATATATATTTAAAGTACATATGCTTGCATTTTTAGCCCTGCTGTTTAATAGAAAAGTGATTTACAATTCTGGACTGGCAGAGATGGATTCTGTGGTGGTGCCGTGGAGCACTTCCAGATGAGCTGAAAGATGGTTTCTGAGCATGAATTATAGTCCACATGTAAACAGGAAGACAAGGAAAATGATGAATCATCTCCTACCATCTCTCAGTACAAACCTGCAGACTATATAATTTAAAATTTACTTTACTGCCAACAATACCCATATAATGTGATCAAACACAAAGCGCCTATCAAATACATTAAGAAACTAAAGCAATATGAAGGTTTCCTGCAACCCGAAGAAAGCCTATGAATAATTCACATTTCCATGCATGAGGCCATCTAAAGGTGGCAACGACTTGTGCAGAGTACCCAACTCTGAGGGAAACTGATGAACTAACCAAGGAATCTGATTTAATATCAAGATGATATTTCGGTTACCTTGAAAGATAAAGCTGCCCCTTCACATCTTTGAAGGTGCTCTGCAAGCCTGGGCACTGGCAACAGGGGGACAGGAATTGTGAGGCTGGATGAGGTTGTGTGGATTAGTGACCCCAGATTCTGGTGATCCTGGCACTTCCTGCGTCTCTTCCACTGCCTTTAATGGGCAAAGGGCTGCTTCACCAGGATCCCAACTCACTCTCTATTCAAAGGCAGTGTCAATGCACAATCTGCCTCAGCACATGGACGGCTGATAAAATGGGGGAAAACGATGGTGGATGGGTTTTAAATGTGAAGGGCTTTAGCCTCTCTGGATTTATTTGGCTTATTTTTTTGTATATTAGTTGTAGTCAGTATGCCGAGAGAAATACGCTTTCAGGGACAGGAAACCGCAGCAGAGGGAGGACGCAGAATCACAGGTCATTCAGTCCCACCAGCCACCCCGATCTGACCCCGCACACACTCTGGTCCTCAGCCCTGCCCTCCAAGAGGGGCCAGGCTTGGGCAGCGTAGAAGGCCCAGGCCCTTCCCTCTCTCCCTCCTGGGTGGTCACAGCAGGGCTCTTCGACTCCTCTACCCTGAGCTGGGCACAAGGATATGGAATGGACTAGGAACTTCACTGTGCCCTTGCCAGAGTGAGAAGGGATGAGGTGGGACCCCAGCCTCGTGGAAGGTTTGAGCATTCCTGTACATTTCCTTAACAGACACCTTATGTGCTCGAGCCTGGATGAGTGAAAGCTGGCTAAAGATGTACTCTATGTTTTTACAGCAGTATGTGTGTTGATAGCCCATAGACTTTTCTTTTAGACAATATAATTTTGCAAGAAGAAGTCTACCCTACCTCCTAAATAATTACGTTTATTTCTAACACACATGGAATCTTACTGTTCAAGGTACACATTAACATCCCAGAGACATGCTATTTGCAGTTCACAAAAGTTCTTAATACTTTAAATCTGAGTTTCTGTTCCCTTGCATTTCATTCTTTTTGTGTGGGTCAGATGATTTGTACTTCCATGCAAACCAACATTTGAAATGTCCAATGACCACTCTGACTTAACATGTGCTAGGCATAGCTTCAGAGATCAAAGTGCGTTTAGATGAAGTATCCCCACATTAATGCTCTCATGAAAACAAGAGCAACCCCGCAAACTGTCCTTGTCATGGGGTGACCACTCCCTCCTTTATGTTTACCATTGTGTCTTTGCCAAAAAGTATCTGAGTGCAGTATTTATCAATGGGTAATTTGAGAGTACTTTATAAAAAAAATTCTATTTCCTTAATGTGGAGACTTGTGCATAGAATTTGAAAAGGTAAGCATTTCACTCACCTTCTGTGGGAAGGGACACTGTCTAAATG